GTATACTAGATACGACCGCAGGGTTGGCGTTGGATAACGTCTGTTATGTGTTGTACTTAATTGTGTATATTATATTTTAGGAATATTCCTTAATAACTCTTTGCAAAAGTTTGGTGGCCCTGAAAAGGGCCGTTTTGTTGGGCTGATGTTGTTGACAATGATGGAACTGGCGACCTTGTTGGACGCTTATATAGTAGAACAGAAAATATCAGAGGTGTCAGATACTCGCATCTGATGTCTCGGTTGGAGAAAGTATAAGAATATAAAAAAAATCAATCGATTTTCACCATCTTTAGACAATGGTTTACTTTTAATCATTTTTCAATAGTTTACAGAATGAAATCAATAGTTTTGAAACATTCAGCAAATTGCTAGAAATATTTCCAATCGATTGATGCCATTATCTCGTAAATCTATTGAGAGACGGTTGAGTTATTATCGTTCAAAATCTTTTAATTTTTCGTAACGCATCCAAAATGACTGTTTTCAATTTTGTACCCCCGTATGTTGCCGAAAGACGTTATCCAACGTCAAAAGCAAATCATTAAAATGGGTACTTTTCATACATTTCGGAAAAAAGCAAGAAGGGTACAAAATACCCATTTTGGCGTATCTGTTTAATACTCATTAATGAGTAAAACCGGTTTTACTCATTTCATGAGTTAAGCCACTTTTCTTGAAAATGAGTAAAATTTTACTCATTAATTGGTACTTTGGCGTGTATAGTTTATTAGCTCTATTCAAAATAAAGAGCCTGAATTTATAAAGAGACGACATGTCAAAATTGGAACAATCCATAGAGTTCTCTACCACCGTTAGTATTAGCATAGAGGTAACTCTAAGACTACTGGGTCCCGACGAAAATCATTATTATTTTTGGCTCACTCAGTACCAGAACAACGGTCCCAAGCAGTCCCAAGCTATTTCACTCACCCCTGCATGTTCTGCATGAATCCACACACCCCTGATGTTATCTGTCAAACTTTCATAGCGAATCAAAACAAACATAGTGTAGTAATAGAATTTCAACTAGAATAGGGTACGTTAATCGTTTGCTTGGGACCAATAGGCTACTAAAGTGGTGAGCCAATTTAAAATCGTTAGTTTCGTATTGATTGTTGGTATTAGTGAGAAGTTTCACTAATACATGCATTTTACTGGTTGAAAATAAAAAACAAACCGCTGTCAAGTCGAACACTTTGACAGCTGATTTCGTGGTTGAAAATAATAAACAAAGCGATTTTACAGGGCTGCGCTAGCTAGGTTGTATAAGTGAGATGTTGCGTCGAGAAGTCAATTATCTGTCAAAGTCATAGGAAAAGTCGTTCCAATCGAGCAGAAGACCTGACCTTTATAAATTCAGGCTCTTTAATTCAAAATACAAATTCATGCCGGTAGTTGATCTATCTGTTAAGGTTGTCTTCATTTTTACCTAAATAGAGTGTACACAGAGAGAAATAAATTACCCTAAATTTAAGTTCTTTTTACTTAATTTTGGGTAATTTTGAGGTTTGCATCCCACTCTCACTTTTTGTTGTTATCAAAAACGGAACGAGAAATTGGACTTTCTCTTGACTATCGTTCAATAAACTATTAGTAAGTATATGAGATATTCTCAAATTAGAATCAATTGTACTTAATTTTGGGTTGAAAATACTCACGAGTAAGTAATTATTTTTGCCGTAGTATAATGTAAACTACTATAAGCGGTTAACTGAAAATTAGCTTATTGAACGGAACACGGGAGATAAGTGAAAAGAACTTAATTTTGGGTAATTTTTCGGTTCCGTGTAGAAGAAATCGACAGTGAGCATGCATAAGGGCGTAAACGCGATGATCGATTCTCTTCGTCGATTTTCTCTTTTGTTAATAACTCACTAGATTAAACGTTTCTCGGTGCGTTTGCTGTTGCTTTTGATATTGGCTAACGTGTTACAACTCTGCATTGAACAACACGGTAACCGCAAAATACCCAATAATGACTACAAAGTAAGCATTTTCGGGGGAGACTGGGACTACCCATTAAATGAGAAAAAATATTACCCATTATGAGTATTTGTTATTCAAAAATGAATACTTACTATTTGTTTTTGTAGTTGTAATTACTCATAAATGGGTAAAATTTTACTCATTTAATGGGTAGTCCCAGTTTCCCTCGAAAATGCTTACTTTGTAGTCATTACTGGGTATTTTGCGGTTACCGTGAATGCAAAGAGATAATTGTTCATCGCGTATACGCCCTTATGCATGCTCACTGTCGAAATGATTTTTATTTGCACTGATCGTTGATACACATGTAGAAATATTAAAAACAAAATCACCAGGCTTCCATGCATTATTTAATAAATATAACCAGTGCCATTACCTCCATAATAGGGGAATTTACGTTTCTCGTCAATCTAAGCAGCGTCCGCACTTCTATTAGCATTTTCACAGCGTCACGCACATATATGACGTGTCTGTTTGTTTCAATTCATCTGCTGCTTGCTTCTCTATTCATTCCAATCGACAGAATTCTTCAAAACTGTTTGAAAGCGTTTTTACAACGCTCTAAACTTCTCATGTGAGTGTGACTATTGTCGGCAGCCTCTTTTTCTTCGGCAACCTTCCCATTAGAACTGCATGTTAACCAGCTGTTCTATTATCGGCAACTCGAAATCAGCCCCATTTTGTAGTACGTATGCTTCATTTGAAGAAAAATCTGGCATAACAGGATTGCTCGGTCCTACAAATATAATCAGATTGAAGCTGAAAGACTAAATAATCATTTGGATACATTCAGGGAAGTGTGTTGATGGTAAAACATAGTGAAATTAACGGTTAAATTTTGGTTGCCGAAAACAGTCAATGGGTGCCGAAGCCGACATTTACCCTATAATTTATTTATTTATTTTATTTACCTATTCCGCCTCCTGCGGTGTAACAGTTTGACAGCTCTTTACTGGGTGTTCAGCAAACCGTTTATGTAAGCTGGATTGTTCGGTTAAAAATATCGTTTGCTGTTCTTTACTAAAGCACTGGATTGCTGATCATGATCCTGCAATCCGTTTTACTGATATTGTAAACTTAAATTTGGTGCAAAATTACGTGTGAAATTTCAAGCAAGCTGCTGTTTTGGGAAAAGTTGTTCATGGGATCAAGTCCATTTGATTGGTACACAGCAGTTCCGGATTTTCTCAATACGCAGCGGACCATTCATGAGCGTTTCTTGCAAGAATTCAAAACAAAGTGTTTTAAATGGATCCCTTCACCACTAATTAGGAATGAGTTACTAAAAGTAAGTAACAGCCGTCTTGCTCCTAGATCATGATTGAAAATTGGTGAATCATTTCAAGTTTGTTGGGGCCTGGGGACAAGACAGCTTTCGATCATGAGGAAAACCGGAGTTAATTATGAGTAGCTCTGATTAGCTCGCTTTGCTTAATATCGTATACACATAGCAACCTGATTACGATTGTTATGTTGAAAACAAGGTTGAAACTAGTACTGTCCAGTTCCCAATGATGAGCAATGACGAAAAGTGCGAAAACAATAATAACGGCCAAACATCAGCATCCCTCAAGGGGACATGATAAAACTGTTAACACCAATCGAAATGTGCCTCAATTCGAGACGGTTGACACCAGTTCCATCCAATCTCCTCTCCTCTAACGCCAGACAATTTCATGGTAGGCTGAAACCTGCAAGCCGTTCCGGTGCCAAGTCAGGTCAACACGCCGGACCAGGGTTGAAAAAATCACCAGCATTCACTATGAAATGAATTTTTCATCCATAGTGAACTTTGATGAATTTTAGTGATTTTTTCAGCCCTGCGCCGGACAACCGTCTGGACCACTGGCAACTCACCCAGAAGTTATTCCATATTCCGTATTTGGGCCCGATGGTACCCAGAGTATCTTGATCAACTACAGTCTCGAGCAACGAAAGATTGCAAACCACCATTTGCTGCTATGGTGGGACAGATCGTCATGATCAAGAATGACAATATTTTGAATGTGGCCGAAATGATCAGTACTCGCTGATCATAGTTAAAACTTGAACTCTAAACTAAAGCTAAATCCTAAAATTAGAGAACTTTAAATTGACCTAACTAAACAGAATACAATATGAACCTAGATATGAACAAACACTAAATTAATTTATTGTGAATCAGCATATTACCAACTCTCACGAAAGAGAATAACTCAACATCGACTGACCAACGATATAGGGTTAACTACCCCATTTCCGGCCTATTAAGTACAACCCACACTTAGTCTTTCTTAATCTAGCGCAGTTAAGCACCAAACGGAATGTTATTATTACTGATGGCTTACACATTTATTTACCATTCCGTACGTACCGTAAGATTTGATAAAGAGAAACCAATCGTTGAGATATTGTCAAAAGTCTAACACTACTTCTTGACGCCAAACTCGGCCTACGGATGCTAAACTCGGCCTAACGCATTGAAACGCCATTTAAACGCCAATGAATCCACTTCGGCCTATCGGATGAAGATAAAAATTTATTCGGTCGGAGCGCTTCTTTTGTTTTTGCGAATAATGAGTGCAAACCTTCATATCACGCGTTCTCATTGACTTCGTTTGGTAGCTTATTAGCTAAAGTATCGTACCAAACGCATAATTGACATGTTAACTCTGAAATCATGAATTTATTTGAAGTTTTCTGCTCGATAGGCCCAAAATGGGCGATTAGGCCGAAGTAGTTCTCTACCCTACCTCAACTTTTATGTAGGATTCCGAAGTTAAATCAACAAGGTAAAAGGGCTCTTTTACCGTACAAGCCATAATCTTTTCAAATTTCTGGGCGAGTATCAACATGCACGGTCCTGAAATAACACCACATCACCAAACATTTGGGGCCTTTGCTCGATTCATCTAAACAATGATTCTGATAATTTGAAATCACCGCTGTTACAATTTGTTCTCAACACACGCAATTTACTGAAGCTTGGATAATCAAACCTAATTTATTATTTAGTCACATTCTAAACTCACCTTTAATATTGCCTTGAGTTAAACTCCTTCCTTGAAGCACAAACGCACTCTTAGTGTTCAATTTATTTTTAACAAGTCTCCGAACTTTTCCATCAGCTGCTTAGCTCCTCGGTGCTGTTTTTAGTATGCCATAGACACTCACTTCACTTTCCGCTCAACCTTCGCTCAGTTCTGTGCTGAATCGAATAATTTCTTCTGCCACGAGGTGCTTTGTTTGACAATTTTCCATTAATACTTCATTCTGTATAATCATCACAAGGTTTCCCTAAAAGACCACGCTCCAAAAAGGCGAACGTGTGCGTTGAACGAACGAGAGGAATCATACGACTGAATGATTTGAGACTACGCTTTTGAATTAATCGTACTTTAATGGAGCTAGCGAAACTACCCTACCATTGTTATCAGTAATTTATGCGCCCAATTTATGCGGGCAGATAATATCACATACAAAGCACCTTGTTGTTTGCCCTACAAAGGACTAATACCTTGACCTTACTGACTACTGCCTGCGCTGGGTTGTTATGACAGGTGGTTGTAAAATTTCGTAAAATATGAATTGTTTGAAACATTTGCATTGTGTTGTGGATGCTAGATAGAGGTTTTGTGAAAACAAAAAGAATACGGAGAGAAATTGACCGGTGTTTGCCATGTAGAGAAAATCAATGGAGACGCTAGGTTCCTTTTTGGTTCAAAAATTTCACCACTCAATTACATAACAAATTACGAACCAACCTAATGAGAGTCTAGCAGCCCGTGGCCACAGAGGCCGGTAAACAAATTAACTGACATGGAGAAACATTCCAGTGCGGTGAGCGCATTTGTGCATGTCTTCAAGTGGCAATTCACTGGCAAATATGCAATCTGTACATTACCCGTAACTAAGTATATACGGGAGTGTAAGTGCACAGGTAAGCACACAGTTGTACACACAGTCAGTGGCTATTCATCAAGCCATCCGATGAAAGGAAATGAACCACCCCACTCGGTTGGTTCATAATTTAAAAATTTCATCTGTGAATCCTCGATCGAGGACAAAGACGCGATGCGAGTGGCCGGGGGTAATGGTGAGGCCGCGCGGGAAGAAGGATTTTGTTTTCCCTCAATGGGTTAGAATGGAACGGAACGAGTGTGTTTATTCAGACCACCTGAAATATGATGTAATGCAGAGAAAGCTATGCTGGCTGCTTCGAGGAAGATCTGCCAGCCAACAAGTCATCCGACGCCGTGGGCAACGAGTGGCAGCGGAATGATGGAAATGAGTTTGTTGCATTTTAATGGGTAGCTAAGTGGATCTGTTATTACAAGGTTTTCCACAGTGTGTTTTTTGCTTTGCCGAGCAGCGCTTTTCATTTAATAAGAGCGAATTTTCTCTGTTTTCTTTGGATCGCGAAATTGGGTCACCAGCCCTTCACTCCCTTTCGAATGTTTTTTTTTTTTCTTTTTCAATGGTTCTAGGCACGGCGGATCTGTGGATGGTTATTTTGAAATTGTTCGTTATTTGGGGGGAAATGGGAGTGAACTTGAGTTGTAAGTGGAACTAATGATGACTAGTTTGTTTTATGCTGGGGGAAGTGCTTCAGTTTTGGCATGTATCAGCGATGGCTCCCACTTAAAGGTAAGGCTAAAAACCGGTACCATTGCGTATATGGGATTGTGAAGTGTAGTGTACCGCCACTGAAATAAAATATGTTTTTAGCCATAATTTGAAATTTTCTAAAAGATATAAAAGTCACAAGAAAATCCGTTTTTTCTGTAAGTCTACTATTCCTATTTCATCATTTTAAAAAATCTACCCCACTTTTTACCATTAAAATGTAGAAAAACATGTATGCACTTAAATTTTATTAATAATGACAGGAAAAAAAAGATTCTCTTGAATTTTAGATAGGGTAATTTACGTATTCTCGGCAACCTAAGCAGCGACCATCTTTCTATACCCTTTTTCTCTAAGGAACGCACACATATGCAGTATTGGTTAGTTTTCAATCTTTTGCTGTCAGCTGCTCAAACAATTTCAGGCGAAATTTTTGCCAAAACCTGTTTTGAAACGCTTTTAGAAGGTTCCAATCTTCTCTACTGATGAGAGCAACTATTGTGGCAACATTTTTTTACTCGGCAACCTTTCTATTTGAGCTGCATGTTCAACAGCTGTGCTTTCATCGGCAACTCGAAATCAGCAGTGTTTTGTAGTGCGTGTGTTTCATTTCAAGAAAACCTTGCTACATTACTTTTCTCAGTGGTGAAAATTTACTCAATTTGAAGCTGAAAGCCTAAAAAATCGTTTGAATGCATTCAACTAAGTGTTTTCGTAAGAAAATCCAATGAAATTAGCGTTTCAATTTGAGTTTCCGAAAATAATCTGTCATGCCGAAGCCGCCATTTTGTTAGTTTTAGAAAAATCAAAATTTATATTATCCACCAGCGGCGTACACTGGGACAGATTGGGCAGACTTTTGGACAAAACAGCAACAATTTTTTTCTCGGGATTTCAATTCAACCCGTAATTTTACAGAAGCTAAGATCATTTACCCTTAGGATTCAAGCATAAACTTATCAAAACCTGATTGTTTTTACATAACACCAGGTAGGGGAAGTTGAGGTCCGATAAAAAATCGAAGTAATATATCTAACATATTGTTTTGCCATCAAAGGGTTTGTCTTTTTCCCAATTCAAGGATTTAATTATTTAAATAACTTTGAATGCACATAGAATTTCATGAATTGGAGATTTACTTACTAACTTAACGATCCTGCGCACCTCCAGGGGTTCAAAAGGCTTTTGTGAAAGATTTCCATCCTGGGCGATTACTAGCTTTGGCCTTGACCTGTGTCCAAGTCAAATTTCGGTCAACGTTCTAAATTTCACTGTTTAGGCTTCGTCGCCACGAGCCCCTGGGTCTGCCTCTGCTGTGATGTTCTGCTGGATTCCAGTCCAGTGCTTGCTTGCAGATTTCGTTTCCGCTCCGTCGTAGTGTGTTTTTTCAACCGTGCGCGAAACTGATTACTCAGCGAATCATCGAGTACAACAACCTAAAATAAAGTGACTCAAGTGGGCGAGTATGGGCTCACAAAGAGGCGGGGACCCGTTTCCTGCCCTCTCTTCGCATGGAACGTGCCTAAGGTAAAGGGTGATACGGTCAAAATTTGGTCAAGGGAAAACGCGTGTAAATCGGTGAAATCGTTTATTTAAAAAATCAAATTAAATTTCTTTTTCAAGTTCAATTAGTATAAAATTCAGGAAAAATATTCAGTTAGGCTTCCGCTTTTCCAAATCCGAATTGCCGGGCCTTACGCTTGACCCCTGCCATCAGATTTTGTACAGCCACCTTGTCCACCTTCTTCGCCGCAGAAAGCCAGTTTGCCTTGAACTGCTGCTCGCCCTTAGCAGTTTTTTTGGTCTTCTTCAGGTTCCGCTTGACAATAGCCCAGTATTTCTCAATTGGGTGGAGCTCTGGCGTGTTGGGAGGGTTCTTGTCCTTGGGAACCTCCTGCACGTTGTTGGCGGCGTACCACTCCATGGCCTTTTTACCGTAATGGCAAGATGCCAAATCCGGCCAAAACAGTACGGAACAACCGTGTTTCTTCAGGAAAGGCAGCAGACGTTTATTCAAACACTCTTTCACGTAAATTTCTTGGTTGACAGTCCCGGAAGCTATGAAAATGCTGCTTTTCAAGCCACAGTTACAGATGGCTTGCCAAACCAGATATTTCTTTGCGAACTTTGACAGTTTCATGTGCTTGAAAACATCTGCTACCTTTCCCCTTCCTTTTGCCGTATAAAACTCTTGTCCCGGAAGCTGCTTGTAGTCGGCTTTGACGTAGGTTTCGTCGTCCATTACCACGCAGTCAAACTTCGTCTTGTCAAACTTTGCGTGCGAGTAGCTCGGATTTTCGCGATGCGCGAGCAAAATTTTGATACGCTGCTCTTCTTGCTTGGACGGCATTTTGACAACTGAAGAGTGAATTCTAAAATCAAAATAGGAGCAACATTCTACACACACACACCTTCAAAATGAGGGGTGTTCAGGTTTTCTAAATGCAAAATTGAAAGAAATACGTCAAGTTGATATTGACCAAATTTTGACCGTATCACCCTTTATGTAACAATAAACAAAGTGGATGGCAGACTGAAAGACTACAACATCTTCCTAGTTACGAAATCCATTGAAGCTTATGGTAGTGTAGAAAAAGCTTGGAGTAATCGACGTGACGGATCACTAACCGTCGCACTCCAGGAAAAACATGCTAAAAAGATCATCGAAAACATGACATGGACAAAAAACGAGACATAACACCCAAGAGTCTGACTCAGAGGCTATCGAATGCATTGATGACGACAAAATGTGACACTATGAAACCTACAAGCAAACACTACAATGACCACGCTAATTTAATGGAACTGTAACGGTATTCGGAGCAAATACTCCCAACTTCAACTTTTGATCAAAGAACACGATCCTACAATAATTGCATGACAAGAAACAAACACAAAACCTGGAATAACTATGAAAATCAAAGGATACAACATCCTATTTGCACACCGCCCCTCTGGACAAGGGGGTGTAGCCATAATGATCAAAAATGGAGTCAACTTCACCAAGAATCATTTAAACACTTATATGGAAATCATTGCAATCAACGTAAAAACGCCTTACCAAATGACAATATCATCAGTATACATCTCTCCAAACACAACAATAGATACGGAAGAATTCGATAAAATCATCGTCTCTCTCCCGAGACCACTAATAATAGCTGGAGACCTCAATGCCCATCATTACTCATGGGACTCACAAAGACAAGACGCGAGAGGAAAGGAAATGGTAAAACGGACTCATCACCCTTAATGACGGAAATATCACTTTCATCCACTCGGCAACAAGAAATGAACAAAGCAGTAAGTCAGCAATAGACGTTACAATATGCAGCCCCGAGCTTGCTGCAAAACTAGACTGGCAAATAATAAACGATCAACATAGCAGCGACCACTTCCCTATCAAAATAGGAACCCCCCAGGCAAACACCCGGAAAAAACAATTACCCAAATGGAAAATTGACGTAGCAGATTGGAAAAAATATGAAGAAGAAATCGAAAAACTGATATCAACAGATCAGGAATATACTACAATCCTAAATCCGTACCCTGGTGGAATGAACTTACAAAAACCGCTGTCCGTAATAGACGAAAAAGCGCTCAGGAAACTAAAGAACACTACAACAGATAATCCTAATTTCAAACTATTCCAAGA